AGGGGAAGGGGCCCCACTTCCTCCGCCCGGGCGCGCGGACGACGACGCGGCGCGGCTGCCCTGCGGGGGGCTGACGGTGAATCAAGTCCTGCAGCGCCTCATCGCGCGGGAGTCGCCCTCCAAGCGGACGTTGTTTACCGGGCTCGAGGTCCAGCGCCTCATGCGCGGCGTCCCGCAGGCGAGCGCGTTCGTCGTGCTGCTCTTTTGGTACGTCGTGATTCGCGGCCGGCGGACCTGGGTCGAGGAGCTCCTCATCGGCCGCTGCGAGCGGCTCTTCGTCGTCTTCCCGGAGCTTCTCCCGAACGACACCGCCGCCCAGCCTCGGTTCGCCATGCCGCCCTATGAACTTCTGGAGCGGCTCGTGGAGGAGCTCGAGCATCTCGCCCAGCTCCGCGAGGAGTGGATGCGGGAAACGGAGCCGGCGGCGCCTTCTGATCCCCCCGGTGAGGCCGCGCCAACGCCAACGCCCCCGGCCCCTGCCGGTCCATCCCGTTTGGACATTTTCTACGAGTTCATACCCCATCGTTATGTGTATTTAAACACCTACATGCCGATGGTCATTCGCTCCAAGCTCTTGCCCAAGGCGGAGGACATCCAACATGTCGTGGAGGCCTTTTACCTCCTCGCGGCCTCCCGGGAGGAATACCTGGAGCTGGTGGAGCTTGAGGAACGCGCCTACCGCGGCCTCGCGCGGCTTTTTATCGAAATCTTCCACAACATCGGGGGCTCTTCGAGCAGGAAAAACGGGGGGAAAAGCGATACCGCCTCACGGGACTCCCCCGGGCGGCCCACGGGAAACCCCGCCTACCGCGAAAACAACGTGGTGAAGCTCGAGATGAAGGATATTGTGATTAATACCTATCTCAGCCTCGCCGCGCGGGTGACGTACTACGCCCTTGTCTTTTGCTTCCCCAATGACGTCCACACCGGGGAGCTTTTCGACCGCCGCTTCCGCGCCGATCTCCTTCGTGCGTTGTTGTTTTGGAGCAGCGGCGTCGTCCTCGGGCACCCCCCCACCGCAGGCTGGCCCGGGCCCTGCGAGGCCGACTTCGCCGATGACGGGCGAAAACGCGAAAAAGAACGAACTCGCGAAGGGACCAGGGGGAGCACGGGGACTTTGGACCGCAGCGAAAAGACCTCCGCCGTGTTCTCCTTCTCCTCAGGGGAGACCTCTTTCCAGCAGGTCGTGGGGGAGGCGCAAACAAACCCCATAAAGTCTACCATCTCGGATCTGAACGCCATCCTTGACGAAGTGCCACCTCAATCCAAGAAAACCCCCAAAATTGATGTGAATTTTTTCGGCGATTTTGTCAAAGAAAGCGACGAGACTACGTCCTTTTCACAAAAGGAAGAACCTAAAGCGGATGCCCCGTCCAAAATCACCCTTCCCCGATTGCTTAATCGAATCAACAGCAAGACGGATATGCGGCCAAGAAAATCACTCATGGTAAGCAGTTTAGATCAATCGAAGGATTGGTTTAAGGGTAAATATACCACCAAACGGTCTCAGATGTTCGGGATTGGCAACGGTAATGCGTTCAACAATGTGGATATCTCAATTGCTAATGGGGAGCACCGCTTAATGGCGGAATTTAATCATTACCAAAAACACGCTAGACGCCTTTTAGTGGAACTTCAAAAACAAACCTCACGACCGTACCGAATTCACTTCCAACCGGATCAGAGGCGATACAAGCGGTTCGAAAAGAACCTAGGCGAGCACAATACTAGGAATCCTAATGGATTGGTAAATGGCTCCTTCAAGTCGCCGGAGTTTTGGAAAAAAGTATCGGAGAGCTTTCTGAATAGTGACCGTGACCTCTCCTCTAACAAAAATTCAAAAACAAAGTTTCCTGAGATGGATGGGGTTCAAAAAAAAAGTAGTAATTTAAATCGATCATCCCGACTCTCCGAGGCGAACGCGGAGGGGAGCCTGAGGCAATCGCCCAGTTTTCGCGAGCCGTCGCCAACGTCTGCGGCGGGGCCGAAAAACGGGTCTACGAAGGAATCGATGTTACTGCCGTTGCTATCGAAGGCGAAATTGCACCCCCGGCGGTCCTTTTCCCGGCACCTGTCTTCCCCTCGCTTGGCGATTTCCGTGGCGTCGCGAGATCCCCCGACGCCGACGAAGTCGGACGCGGGCGCCTCCGCAGCGGCCAAACCGCGCGCCCAACCCCACCCCATCCACCTCAACCAGTCGATCCTCCTTAGCCGCATGCCGAGCCAGTCCCGCGCGTCCCTCGAGGAGCTTTGGACGCCTTCGCAGCAAAGCCCTTATCGCCCCGAGTTCGACTCCACGCAGCCCTATTCCGCTCGCCCCCCTCGACTTCCCAGTCTGGACCTGCGGAAGAGCCCACGGGACGAGGACGCCGTGGCGCAGAGCCCGGCCCCCACGGACGACGCCCTTGGCCGCGCTGGCCTGTTCATCGCGGACCGCACGGGCGCCGACCTGGTGCGGACTCGTCCGGAACCTTCCCTCCCTTTCCCTACGGAAGAAGGCGCAAAGAGGGGAAACGACGCGGTGTCACCTACGGAACCCCGTAAGAAGGAAAAGGACAGTGTGTCACCTACAGAGCCCTGTAAGAAGGGAAAAGACACGGTGTCATCCACAGGGTCTTCTAGGCGAGAAAAGGACTCGGTGTCACCCACAGA